ATGTTGTGGTGTACACAGAGATGAGAAAGTGATTCCCATAGTGAAGAGAATGAACATATCTGTCATCTCACACAGTTGCTTTCTTCATGACAAGGGCAGCTAAACTCTATTGTTCAATAAAAATTCTACATACCACAAAATTTTGTTAACTGTGCATTAGATGTCTAGGCTTGCTGAAAGAAGTGATACACACGTGTAATCCCAGCACTCTGGAGGCAGTATCAGTGAGTTTGATGCCAGCCTGGCCTACAGAGCAAGTTCCAGGACAACCAGGGCTACATAGAGAGACTTTTTCTCATAAAAACCAAAAATGAAAAATAGATCTCTAGGCTTGGTCACCCTACCTACCTGCCACTTTGTGCCCTTTGACCTTCAGCTCCCACGTCCTACTCCACCCCCCACCCACAGCTTGTTCCCACAGCTCGGCTGTTGTGGACACTACAGTGAACACAACCGCACAGGCACCATCGAGAGCACCCATGCTTGTTCATTCTGAAGCATAAAGCCAATGCACCAAGAATTGCGTGAACCCTGCAAATCATGTTTGATGAGCCATTATGACTGGGTTTCTTAAAAAAGAGCAGGATTTCTCCAAAGTAGCTACATTTTTCCTTTAAAAAAAGGGGGGGGGACTTAAAATCTTGAAGTGGTTAACCTTTTCATTCACATGCTTGTAGATGTGTAGAATCTAAGACTGCTGCCTTGTTTTTTGTTTTGGTTTGTTTTGGTTTTCAAGACAGGGTTTCTTTGTGTAGCTTTGAAGCCTGTCCTGGAACTCACTCTGTAGACCAGGCTGGACTCAGAACTCAGAGATCCACGAGCCTCTGCCTCCTGAGTGATGGAATTAAAGGTGTGCACCACCGCCACCTGGCCTCAACTCTGTTGCCTTTATTCAAGAGAAAGTATGTGAATAACATCTGATGTACAGGAGGAGTGTTCCCAGGCAGGGTTCAAATTTCAAATTTGTACTGTCTAATCCACCAGCTACTAGCCACATGGTTGTATTTTTCTCTGGTGCTGGGAGTGGAACCTAGGACCTTGCACACACTAATGAACTATATCCCCAAACTATTGAACACTATTTATTGGTGTGTGTGTGTGTGTGTGTGTGTGTGTGTGTGTGTGTGTGTGTGTGTGTATGCCAGAGGAGGGGTTGGGTGTCTTCTAAAATCCCTCACCACGTTATTTTTGAGGCAGGGTCTGTCACTGAACCCGGAGTGAATCTAGTCAGAATGGTTGGACAATGAGTTCCAGGGATCTGCCTGTTTCACCTCCACAATGCTAGAGATAGGAACGCATGTCATTACAGCTGTTTTGTTTTGTTTTGTTGTTTTTTCAAGACAGGGTTTCTCTGTGTAGTTTTGGTGCCTGACCTGGATCTCACTCTGTAGACCAGGCTGGCCTGGAACTCACAGAGATCCTCCTGGCTCTGCCTTCCGAGTGCACCACTGCCTCCTGGCAGCCATTTTTTTTTTTTTTTTTTTTTTTTTTTTTTTTTTTTTAATGCAGGAACAGGACATCCAAACACAGATGCTAACCCTCATGCAACATGCATGTTACCAGATGAGCCACCTCCTCAGGCCCCTAACGAACACTTTAAATGTGACTTGCCCAAATTGAAATGGGATCTATCAAACACCTTGGATTTCAAAGACAGAATCCAAAGTAAAGAATGTAAATGCTTTATATTATCATATTTTTCAATGTATAGGATTAAACAAAATATACATTAAAATTAATTTCACCTGTTTGTTTTTGTATCTTTTGATATGATTACTAGAGCGTTTGAAACTACACACGTGGCTTGCATTTGTAGTTCACATTGTATTTCTCTGAGAGGACACTGGCTTAGGTGAGTAGGAAATACTGGGGGATCTGCTTGAAGAGAGGACCGCAGGACTGACCTCCATTGCATCTGGCTCAGCTCTCTAGGTTCGGGGCAGGAGCTACCTGAAATAACAAGGAGCATTTGATTTTTCCTCCTGGATTTAAGTCAAGGTTAATTTGCGGACTGGAGAGATAGTTCAGTGGTTAAGAACACTTGTTGTTTAATCACAAGGACCAAAGTTCGGGTCCAACAGTACCCATGCTGGGTGGCTCGTTAACACCAACAACTCCAGCTCTAATGGATCCAATGCCCTCTTCTGGCCTTCTCGGGTACCCAAACACACATGTATGCATACATTCACACAGACACGTGTATACACATGCATAAGTGAAAATTAAAATAAATCATTAAAATATATACATTTAACTCATTGCTTTCTTTTCTTCTTCTCTGACTCACAAACGCCTAATCCTCCTCATGTTCCTTACTCTCAGTTATCCAGAAGGCAACTCTGCTTGGCCCATAGACTCCTCCACGCCCCTCTGTAGTCAGAGGTTTTTGCATCAGGCTGTCTCCAAGTCTGACCAGTCTACGAACTGTCGAGCTGTGGCCGGCAGAGAAGGTGGAAGAAATGACAGGAATGGCTGTCCCCCCTCAGCTGGGACCAGGAGTAGGTCAGCTTTGTGTGGAGGGGTCTTTGGGAACAGCTGGCACATACTTCAAGTCCCAGGACCCATGTCAGGTCCAATAACTCCAATGCAAGGATCCAATGCCCTCTTCTGGTCTCCTCAGGTACCTAAATACACATGTATCCATCCACTCACACAGACACATACACATACATGTATACACACACACACACACACACAAATAAATAAATAAATAAATAAATAAATAAATAAATAAATAAATAAAAAACATACTTCATTAGAAGTAAATTAACTCAGAAATTTAAAAGAGCTAGAGGTGGGCCCACGAGATGCGTCATCTGGTAAAGACACTGGCCATCAAGCCTGACAACCTGAGTTCAACCCCTGGAACTGCGATATGGAAGAAGAGAGACTATTCCAGAAAGTTATCCTCTGACCTTCACACCTGCGCCTATGGCAAGCCACACATACACACACACACACACACACACACACACACACACACACACACTTTTTTTTAAAAAAACAAGAGGCACACCAAAGACCCTGTGGGTTTTAGAACAAGTTCACTCTGTAAACAACAACAGGCCCATTCTCAAAAATGTTTCGGTTGCACCTAACAGGGTTGCCGTCTTGAACAGGAATCTAGGGGAGGAGAGAATGAAGAATCAAACGTGGCGGGCAGCGTGCAGGCAAGTTCGCTGTCTCAGTGATGCTGTCACTTTAATGAGCCACCTTGGGTAGGACACTTGTCCCCTCTGACCATCGTCCTTCCATCTTCACAAGTCACAGAATGTCAGGACCTGAAAAGACTGGGTAGAACAGTGTTGTCGGAAGAGCCGAAGACATGTCTGTAAGAGTGCGGTGTTGTTTTCTGCATGTTTACTGGTAACAGAACCGTCTCCCTCAGTGGATGCCCCACTACAGGGACCAAAGGGCTCAATTTCACAAAACTGGCTGTGTTAACTCACTGCCCGAGTGTTGCACGAATCCTAATTGGTCTTCTAATAAAAAACTTGAGCCAAATATTGGGGTAAATGCTGAAAGATCGGAGGAAACACACCACTGCCACTTCTTACCTCGCCAACTCCTCAGCCTAAAGGGGAAGACCCTGACTCCACAAATCCACAGACTGAATGCCCCTGAGTCCTCAGCCGAAAGGGGAGGTGAGGTGAACTCCTGTCTCCTCCTGCCTTACATTCCTTTCTCTGCCCAGCCATATCACTTCCTGTCTCAACCTTCCTAGTGCTGGGATTAAAGGTGTGTGACTCCCAGGCACTGGGATTAAAGATATGAGTCATCACCACCTGGCTCTGTTTCTCTTTTAGACTAGATTAATCTGGTGTAGTCCAGGGTGGCCTCAAACTCACAGAGAGCCATCAGTCTCTGTCTCCCGAGTGTTAGGATTAAAGGTGTGTGCCACCACTGCCTGGCCTCTATGGCTAACTGTGGCTGGCTCTGCCGTCTCATCTTCAGACCAGCTTTATTTGTTAGAGTATATATAAAATATCACCACACTCTAGTGCCCACCTCCAGGTTCTTCGTCTGTAACATGAGTGACTTCCGGAGTTCACTTCAATCCATCTCACTCTGCTCTTGGGCTGGCAGTCCACCACGGTTGGAGACATACAGCCAATGATAATTACCGCCTCCATCTGAGGGTCGCCTCGTCTAACCACCGTCAGAAAGCTTGCAATGGATAACACATTTAGATGACTTACCTTAGCATTTGGGTTTTGGTTTTTCTATTCATTTTTTTAAGTTAGCAGTCGAAGTTAGAGGCCTCATTACAGCACGTTCGTCCATACCTGTCATTGTCCTTTGTATTCAACCCCCTCCACCACGGCCCTTCACCATTGCCCATAACCTTACCGGTACCTCTGCGGCATCCCTTCCTCCCTGGGAACAGTCTCCAGTCCGGTTCTTATCACCTGTGTTCCTTTCCCCTGTTTTCCTCTGCTGACCCTCTCCTTTAGCATTTTGTTTAAAAATAATAATAAAATCCAAATGGTGAGATAGATAGATAGATAGATAGATAGATAGATAGATAGATAGATAGATAGATAGACAGATGATAGATAGATAGATAGATAGATAGATAGATAGATAGATAGATAGATAGATATTGTGTGTGTGTATGAAATTTAAAATACCATATTTTAAACCCAGTTTAATGCCCACACAATATCTACACACAATAAAATGATGTGTGTTTTATTTGGGGTTTTTTTGTGGTGGTTTGGTTGAATTTTTGTTGTTTTTTTTTGTTGTTGTTGTTTTTGTTTTTTTGTTCCCCCACCCCTTCCCAAGACAGTCTCTCTTTGAAGTCCTCACTGGCCTTAAATCCAAGACCTTTCTGACTGAGTGCTGAGATAACAAACCTGACTGACCTCCATACCTGGCTAACGACAGTTTTCTTAAAGTCGTGACCCATTCCCTACCGCAAAAACAATTGAACGCCCCGCCCCCCACAGGCAAAGCATTCCCTTGTGTAGGGGATCACTGCAGTGACCTGAGGGTGTCATTTTCTGCTCTTCCCCGGATATTCTGAGGTTTCTGCTGTACCAGCGACAGTGGGCGCGAACAGTTTCTCACATTTGCGTGACTGATTAGCAACCCAGGAGTTTCCCCGGCTTCTGATGGGGAAATGGATCTCTGCATCTTTAAGGCTCCGCGGGGCTGTCTGCTCCGGCGACGCAGGCAGGGCAGGCTCTGCGGCAGCAGCCGCGGACTCATCCGTCGCTAAGGTCCAGTTAGCCAAGGTGGAGGATGGGAAAAGAATGGAGCTGTCCCAGCTCCTCAATGAGATCAGGGCAAACTATGAGCAGCTTCTCACCAGAAATCAGATAGAGACGGTGCTGTCAACACGGATGCAGGTAATGATTTCATTCAGCCAGGCACCTTCAGGATAAGGAGACAGTCCATGTCTACCCGATTCCTGTCCCGGCCTCTCTGAGGTACAGTATTTTCTTTTCCACGCAGCATCTACTGGGGAGGCAATGTAGGTGTTTCTGCACTGGGTCTGGGGTGCCAGACAGGGATAAACCCTGGGGCTGTGTTGCTGAATGGCCATTCAATAAATATTGATCGATTAATTGAAATTTTATATAGATCATAAGGTGACCGTCATTACTAAAACATGGAGTCAACAAATAATAAAATGGTGCACTCTGACCTCTTTAGATTTTTCAGGAAAGACGCATTCCAAACACTCTTCAGAGATATTATGGAGTTAATTATAGAAGTGATTTAAATAACATCTGTAGAATGAGAGCTTGATAGTCAAGATTGTTTGCCTGCACATTCTGAGGAGGAGGTAAAAAGCAAGTAAAATATTTTTTTAAAGGTTTCTATCATCTTTTCCATGCATTCAGCTTTATACTGATGGCTATAAATAGAATCATCTGAGTGTGTGAACCTGGCTTTCAGAATCAAGGATACAAATTCTGACAATCAAAATCCCCCAGCTGGGGAGGGACTCTATCTACACTTAGAAGTACCCATTTTTGCATTTGAACTATGAGAACGGTGTACTTCTGACACAAAGCTTGCAAGACATTTAAAATAAATAAATGAAACAGAGCCAACTCAGACCAAGGCTCAATTCAAATTCCACACAAAAACTGTTAGTGAGAAATCACAGGACTTCGTGCCATCAGCAACCTACTGGAACATCATTATAAATTTTGTGTGTGGGTAGCATCTTAAGTTTTCAAAAAGAATGATCAGTTCCCTAGATTAAATAAGGTTACTAGGCTGTTGGTTTAGATGTTGGAAAAGTTTGTTCACCTTCATATGACAGGGGAAAATATTAAGAGAGGACAACTTTTGAAAATTATATACCAAATGAATACTTTATTTTACAAAGTAGGAATCTAAGTTTAGTGTACAAGCCCCAATGCTGAACTGAGTGACTTTGAATAAAAAAGCAAAACTCTCGTAAGATCTGTTTGCAACATTTTATAATATAAAGGTTCTTGAGAGAAATGTTTTTTTCCAAGTAATTCACAAAGTCAATTTACTTTATTATCACAACATACTGCAAAGCCCTGGGTTTAAACCCTAGCACCAAACAGGTAAATAAGCCAAATGAAATAAGCATATAGTTGCTGTAGCTAGCAATCGCTGCATAAAAAGTCACCCCCAAAGCTCAATGGGCTAAAGTGTAGGCTATTGTATTCTGTCTTGTGATTCCATGGGATGAGGAAGCTAGGATATGAGGACTCTGGTGCTAAGTGAGATGCTGAATAGGATGCAGTCACCTCAGGGCCCTATTGGCTGGCATGCTCCAAGTGACTGGCTAATGTGTCTGAGACCTTGGCAGCAGATTGAGAGGCTGGCTTGAGACACCTGGGCCTGTTTCCCTCCCAATGTACCTCAGGGTCCCTCTCCACCTAGTCTCCCTACATAACCCTCTCTAACCGGGTATCCAGAGTTCTTCTACGATGATGACCCAGGGCTTCCAAGAACAATGTGGAAGCTGGCAGGCTTCTTAAGGCATAGCCTAGAATGGGCACAGCATCAGCTCTACCATATCCAAATGATCACAGCAAGACTCAGGACATGATCTTGAGGGGGGGGCACGTAGTTCACTGGGAACCATCTTGGGAGTCTAACTACCACACAGTTTACCTGCCAGTTCCTCACTGGGACAAAAGACCAGTGGTCCCCGTAGCCTTACATTGTTTCCAAAAGTCTTCTCATTCTTTTTTTATAGTTGCTCCGGTAGATGTTGGTTGCTTGACTTTGCCAAGTTAACACTAAACATGTGATAGGCTGACAAAGAAAGGAGGAAAAATTTCCCTCTAACATCTTTCTTTTTCCATTTTTCGAGGTGGGGAGTGTTTATGTATATGTGTGTGTGCATGTTTGCATGTGTATGGGTGAACTGTGCAAGATTCACATGCATGTTGGGCCATATGCTGGGAAGGAAGTGCAGTTAATTTCAAAAATCGTCCTCCATCACTCTTACACTTTGTCAGTTGAGGCAAGGTCTCTCAGTCAAATCCAGAGCTCACTGACATGTCCAGACCTGAGACTTCCTGTCCCATCTTCCCAGGCTGGAATTATAGGCAAGCTTCCATACCTACCCAGCATTTACAGAGGTTCTAAGGATCGGAACTCCTGCCTGTAGGCTGTGTCACAAGCAGTTAGTTATTGAGCCAAATCTCCAGCCCTTTTCTCTAATATCTTGCCCTAAACTTTATTCACAGACTTTTATCGACTCTGGCTTCCTTTAAACAAAATCTACCATATAACCAAATTTACAAATTTAAAAGAACATTAAAAAGTTGTCTTTTTTTTTTTTTTTTTTTTTTTTTTTTTTTTTTTAGTTTTTTTTTTTTTTTTTTTTTTTAACTTCAAATCAACTCAATACATTGCTCCTAATGAGGTCAAATGTTGATAATGCTGTTAACTGGTGTTTTCTTTTAATTCCATCAGCATGAAAACATTTCAAGCAAAAATGAAAATACCCCAGTTCCCCCCTGTGCTTGCCAGGCAGGCATTCTACCACTGAGCTTCACATCTTCCCCTGCTTGTTTTTATAAGAGGAGAAAATTTAGAAAATAATCTTTAAGATGTCGTTTTTTGGGACTTGGAGGATGGCTCAGCTGGTTTTACTATGAAAGTATGAGGACCTGATTTTGATCCACAGGACCCACAATATAAAGTGAAACATGGTGGTGTGCATTTGTGATCCCAGCAATAAGATCTGGAGACAGGTAAATAGATCTCTGGAGCTCACTAGCCAGCCATTCTAGCCTAATCAGCAAGCCTGGGTCCCAATGAGAAACCATGTCTCAAAAAAAAATTTTTTTTAAGGAAAAGAAAAAGTGGGTGGCTCCTGAGGAACTACACCCCAGACTGATTCTAGCATATATTTTTTTCACAAACATACACCTACATGGTACACACACACACACACACACACACACACACACACACACACACTCACAGTATCTTTTTCATTACTACCCCAAATATCCAAACTGAAGATGCCTCTAAAAAGATCATTTTGAAAATGAAAATAAAAAGGTTTCCTCGACATAGAACCTTGGAGCCTGTGACAACTTAATTTTCCAATTTACTAGCACAGTAATATGTTTTCTAACGGTGTCTAGCTCCCAGTCCACACATCCAGAATTGACCCCTTTTTGGATGTACAGCTGTGTATCTACCTCTATGAAGCAGCCTACAAAAACAAATGTTGGAAAATAATCACTGAATTTCAACTGATCTTCCTTATCGACACATACGGGAATGTGAAAAATCACAGGTCACAAATTTGTCTCGAAAACTTCCTCTTCACTAAAACAGATGTGTTCCTCTGTATTTTCTTTTTTTTTTAAGATTTATTTATTTATTATATATACAGTATTCTGCCTGCATGTATGCCTGCAGGTAAGAAGAGAGCACCAGAGCTCATTACAGATGGTTGTGAGCCACCATGGGGTTGCTGGGAATTGAACTCAGGACCTCTGGAAGAGCAGCTGGTGCTCTTAACCTCTGAGCCATCTCTCCAGCCCCTCCTCTGTATCTTCATAGGCTGCTGTAGTCAGAAAAGGACTTTTGAGATCATTTGATAGCAGAGGAGAGTGGGGCTGAGAGCATCATTGACTGGCTCAGGTGTTCGATTGATTAGTAATGAAGCCCCGGAACGCACTCTGGTAATCTAATAGAGACAAGAAGACGAGACTTGATTCCTCTATAATTGTTTAAACACCTCCTTTTCCACCGTGCCCTTTGGTTGTTTTGTTTTGTTTTGTTTTGTTGTTGTTGGTTTGGGTTTTTGGTTTTGTGGTTTTGTCGTTGTCTGCTGTTGTTATTGTTGACTTTCTCACAGCTAGAGGAAGACATAACCAAAAGAATGGACAAGGATGGGGAGGCCCTGAAGGCAGCTCAGGCGGAACTCAAGGAGGCCCGGCGCCAGTGCCACCACCTGCAAGTGGAAATTGAGACCCTCCACGCTGTGGTGAGGAAGACCCCAAGACTGCACCCCAGAGGCTCCGTGATTTAGAGAGAGGAGGGGTCTGGGGAAGGCAGCCTGCTGGCAGAGCATCTGCCCAGCATGTACAACACAGAGAGGAAAAAGAAGACTCCATCGCTCTACGGGGGAGGCCACTGAACGGTGGAGGCCACTGAACGGTGGAGGCCACTGAATGCTGCCCGGGATCCTCGCCCTTTCCCACCCAGTGGCTGTCATCCGCTCCCTGGAGGTTCAGTTTACATCTAGAGAAACTCAGTTGTACTTGTTCCTGGCTCTGGGGCTCCCTGACTGTTGATATGAGAAAATGGATTGTGTGTTGTTATTATCTATAGTATTCTAACAGCATCCCTGCCATTGAGATTTCTAATGGGAAAATAGTTACGCACTTTCCTGATAGGCCTTTTTAAAGTTCTGTTTGCGTTGGTTGGTTGGTTGGTTGGTTGGTTGGTTGGTTGGCTGGCTGGCTGAGTGTGTGCCCATGGGAAAGTCAGAGGACAAGTTTTGTCAACCAGTTATCCCCTCCCACCATGCGAGACCGGGGGACTGAACTCAGGCTGAGCAATACCTTTATCCACTGAGCCATCTCATGGGCCCCTGGCATGCCTTTTGTGAGCAGTCTGTTTCGCCTTTGATAGTCACTATATTTTCAATATTTTAAAAAATTAAATAATTCAGGATGACGGTACGTTAATCACAATGTAAAGGACTTCTTTTTTTCTTGCTAGAGGAGTGATTACAACATTATTTTGAAATACAGAAAGCTACCTAGTTACATATATTTTTTTAAATATCCAGTACTGGAGATTAAACCCAGGGCCTGTGCATGGTGAACAAGTGCTTTGCTGTGGAGCCTCATCCTTAGCCCTGCTTCTTGTTGTTGTCATTTTGTTGTTGTTGAGACAGCGTCTCACAAAGCTGCCCAAGTGGGCCTTGAACTGGTGTCCCTCCTGCCTCCACTTCCTGAGTAGCTGTGATTACAAGTGAGTGTCATCTTGCTCAGCCACTAAATACAACTTTCTTATGGAAGCCAGGCACAGTGGTTCATGGCTATAACCCCAGCATTTCGGAGACTGAGAAAGAAGGACTGCCATTAGCTCAAGGTCAGATTGACTGTAGAATTAACTAAGCCTGGTTACACATACCTGTAACGCCTAGTCCAAGGCCAGCCTGGGCTACATCATGAGACCTTGTCTCAAACAGCAGAAAGGGGGCCAGCAAGATGGCTCAGCAGGTAAAGGTGCTTGCGGAAAAGCCTGTTACCCTGAGTTTGATCTCCCAAACTCACATGATGGAAGAAGAAAAACAATTCCTGAAAGCTGTCCTCTGACTTCCATATGCATACATTCCCATACACAAAATAAATGTTTAAAAAAAAATTTCCAATAGCAAAAGGAAAAGGTCCTCTTGTATAAGTGAAGCACAACTATTATAATCTTTAAATTAAAAAAAAAAGTGGGGCTACAGGTGTGACTCAGAGCCTATCCTGTTCAAGGCCCTGGCTTTGATTGCTAATGAAAAAAAATAGATAGATAGATACATAGATAGATAGATAATAGATGGATAGGTGATAGATAGATAGATAGATAGATAGATAGATAGATAGATAGATAGATAGATAGATAGATAATAGATGGATAGATGATAGATAGATAGATAGATAGATAGATAGATAGATAGATAGATAGATAGATAGATAGATGACAGAGAGACAGAATGGAACAGGTGACTATGAGACTTCAGAAGCCCATCTGTCACTGGTTAACTGCTGATGATGTCTGCCAACAGGAACGGGGTCTTGAAAACTCCCTGCAGGCCAGTGAGCAGCATTACCAGATGCAGCTGCAAGATCTGGAGTCGGTGATTGACGGACTAGAGAAGGAGCTGCAGGAAGTGAGAGGCGGCATCGAGAAGCAGCTTCAGGAACATGAGATGCTTCTCAACACGAAGATGAGGCTGGAGCAGGAAATTGCCACCTACCGCCGCCTGCTGGAACAGGAGGAGATCAGGTACCTAAGTCCACATCGCTAATGGCACAGGGTGGCATGGGGCCACACGCACAGAGCCACTGTTGATGCCATCAGAGAAACCAAATCCAAAAATAAAGCCCGCCACCACCACAGCCTGTTCACTGAGCTCCTATAGTAGAGCGGGATTAGCACACTCTCCAGGGAGCATGGAGAACTATGTCCAGCCGGCTCCAACCAGCAGGCTCATAACCAGAGTTGGCTGTTTACAATTCTTCTTCACTAAAGAGGATTTTTCCTATCCTTCCCACTTTCTTCACTGTCTCTCTCTTTTAGGACTAGTCTTTGCCTTTGATAGATCACCCCCAAAGAAGTTTGGTGACTCACACTTTGTCACCAGAACCTGGCCCTAAGGCCCCACCCCCACCCCACAGTGAACTCCAAAATAGTACTGCTGTAGTTAGGGGATGGGGCTCAGCCAGGAGAGGGCTTACCCAGCATACACAAAACCCTGAGTTTGTTCCCCAGCATCACATAATCCAGACGTGCATGCCTGTAATCAGAGCACTTGGGAAGTGGAGGCAGGAAGATCGGGAGTTCAAGGTCATCCTCAGCTCCACAGCAAGTTAGAGGCCAGCTTGAGTTACAAGAGACCTTCTCAAAAAATGAAAACTAATAATCATGTGATTCTGTTACGAGTATGGAAAGCAATACTGCTCTGAGTCACATTTAAAAGGCTTCAGGTATCCTGAGATAAGAAGGTGTTAACGGGGGAATTCTTACTTACTCAATATTGTATTTTGCAACCATTTAAAAGGCTTTAGACCCTTGAGCATGGCATTACCTCCACGTCTCTATATTCCCATAACAATAGCTGGGCGGTGGTGGCGCACGCCTTTAATCCCAGCACTTGGGAGGCAGAGCCAGGTGGATCTCTGTGAGTTCGAGGCCAGCCTGGGCTACCAAGTGA